CACCCTTCTTTTTGGTATTCACAGGCTGGAGTTGATTCCTGCTCAGTACTGGGGTAAGGAAGTGTCACCTCCATTTTCAGCATTCCACTGCGAGCTCTGTGTGTGCCACACCATTTCTACAGTTGAACCACTTGGAATTTCCAGCCCAAGCAAACTTGAACATTTGAGTACTTTCTAATCCAACTTTTTAAAATCACAGTAGAGGAAATGCAGAGTCTTACATGAGTCTCATGTGTGCTTTCTTTTCACCTTGGGAAGAACTTCCACCTTCAGAAATATTTGTCAAGTAGGTACATTTTAATCCTAATTTATTTGTGTCTAAATCCAGCAAAGGATTTAAGCATATGCTTATGCTAAAGATATGAATTAGCCCAGTAATTCCATAATTGAGCATCATACAAGTACCTCATACAAGCTCCTGATAGATCCTTTTCAATTTCTTGTCTTGCAGAAAGAGCTTGACTTCTGTTGTGTGTAACAGATTCATTTTATCTAAAACACCACCTATATGCTGACTATTGCAAAAATAGCACTAATTTGTCATAACCACTGCAAACTGGACATATCAAATGAGTTTATCTCAGTGCACATTTCTATCAGATGTTTTCAATGTAACCTGAAAGAGTACAATGGAAAATCAGGTGTATCATCTACCAATTAAACACAAACAAAACACAGTTTGTTTTGTAACTCTTCTTTAAAACAACAGATGTTAGGTTAAATCTCATGTTCAGGCATTTATCACATCTGCTTTCTGTTCCCTTGGAAAATGTACTCACAATAGAGTTCAAATTAATTACAATGAGATTTGTCAGTTGAAACCTAAAAGGGAGTTCAGGGAATAAACATTTAATTCTAGAAGGAAATAATTGGTGTTTAAAAGCTTTAAACTTGTTTTCAGTAGGTTCACATAGGCAAAGCTCCATTGCAGACAGTGTTTGAGACCTGTTGTAACCTGCATGGTGTCTCCAAGGACATATGAGGCCAGAAGAAGAGGAGATGAAGAGAAGTCTACAGGGCTGTGGAGCCTGAGGGTGCAGGCTATGGACCTGCAGCACAAGCTTGCAGAAGCCATGATGCACCCACAGCCTTCCCTGGCAACAAGAAACACTTCTGACCTTAAAAATTAATAAATCTTCACTATTCTCTCATAAAACCAGAGCCTGCCAATGCATAGGCACCGAGGAGGCTCCAGTAAAGAACTTGCATAATCACCTTTTTGTACCTTAACAGCTTTTATGAGAACATAGAAAAGTCTCCCTCACCTTCCAAGTCTGGAGAGACCTGCAGAATGCTATGGATAAAGACAGTTCTTTAGCTCAAAAGGAGGAGAATTTGACTCAATTATCCTGCATCCTAACACTACGGAAAAATAAAAATATTGCTTTGAAGAAAAGGGTTTAATTGCAGCAAAATTACATACATCTAATAAGGTATAATCTAAGACTTGTCATTCCTATAGGTATCATTTTCTCTGTAGCAGCTCTGAGTTTAATTCCTGCAAGGTAAGACAGCTTTGATCAGGCCCTAAACCAGTTCTCTTGCCAATGTCCCTGGCCTCTTGTCACTGTATTGAAATATTAACACACACACATTTTTGGCCAAACTACATCTCTTCCTTTGAGAGACTCCTCTACCCTCACACAGCCTCTCCCAATCCATTTACACACTCCATGCATTGCCCTGTCTGTTCCACCTTTGCTATCTTCCAGGCATGTTACTCACACCAGTGTGTTGCCACAACTCAACACTTGGCTCTTCCCAACTCCCTCAGTAAATGGCATTTGTCTCTTGAAGCCACCAGTGCATGGTTCCACCACCCCAGGGGATGGGGGTGTGTGTGACTAACTCATCACTCCATCCTCCTGCCCCCAGGATCACTGTCTAGCTGTTTAGGAAGGCTCATTTCCTCAGGAAAAAAAAATAAAAAAAAAGAAAGCTAACCAAGTTCAAGTGCCTCTGGAATTTTAAAGTGAAGTACATCCACCTGCTATTGTTATGTAGCATATCATGATAACAACAAACTGCTCTTAGGAAAGCAATAAACATCATTCACTGTCTAAGCATGTGGCTGTTTAGGAGATGAGCTTCAGGAACTGTTCTCAAGGCTCCAGAGGCATCTGTCTGTTAATTCAGCAGCAGAGCAGTGCCCTCCTCACTGTGGCCCTGGTGTTACACATAAATGTCATTCCTTTAGAAAATAGAGAGAAACTTAAAAATAAATACCTATAAGTAGAAGCAAGCATTGTGGTTAGTTTTGAATTAGCTTTATTGATATTTCTGTCTGGGGTTATGTTACTGCACAATTTAGAGTGCAGAACAACCAAATTCATTTCATTTAGGCCAAAAGTGGTTTGAAGTTGTTTGAAGGACAAAACCCCCCCAAATACCATTTATACACAATACAAGAGCAATGTTCACCTTTACTTTGGGCCCTTAATTTGGATATGTTACAAAATATTTCACTAATTTTACTTCAGCAAAGCAAAGGCAGATGTGGAAACCCAGCTTATCCAGCTGGGTTTAGAAGCTCTTGGTTTAGAAGCTCTTGGTGCAGCAAGGCAGAAAAGTTCCTCAAGAATCTCCAAGTAAACCAACTGAGGTATGAGACACTGATTTATTTTCTGTGGCCTCTCCTTTTGCAGGGCAGGAGAGAGGAAACCATTAGTGAATGCGAACAAATTTCCCAGTTTTCCTCCTTTTACAACAGAAACATCACATGCATCAGAGCCTCCTGTGAGGCTGTACTGAGAGTTCCAGATGGGAAGAGAGGAGAAGATTGTTACTACAATCAGCTCTCCTCAGCACACGAGCAGCTACCTGAACTGTGCCCTGGAGACAATTCTAGCACTGAGGAAACATGTGCTTCTATTGTAGAAACAGCCCTCTCCAGGGAAGCCCTACTGCTCAGGATGTTCAAAACCAGGCCAGACTTAAAAGTGGCAGCAGCACAACAGAAAATAGGTGGCAGAGGTTCTTCCTTTGCCTCCAGCTTCTCGTGGCATTTCACTGTTGTTAACTGGAAAGTTGAGAAACTCATACTGCTGCAAAGTGGATGTGGCACTTTTTAACCATCACTTGCTCCACTGCCATCCCCTTCTTTTGTGTTTTGTTTTGCTGATGAGCTTCACTTAGCTTCGAAACAGTGAGTCACGCTTCCAGCCCTGCTGATTCTCCCCCCAAGAAAAGGCTCCAGGAAAAATCACTTCTCTTTCAGGAGGCAATAAAAGATCTCTTTCCTCCTCAGGTCTGTTGCAGAAACACGAGAAGAACTTAAAAGAAAAAAATAAAAGGTTCTATAGCTGGAGAAAAAACGGACAAAGCTGAATTCACAGGACTTTGTACTACATAATCACCCCCACATACACTGCTTTATACACTTCTGCTGGTTATTTGAATGAATGCTTTAGAAAATACTCTTTTCAAAAGGAATACATCCACATAAAAGCTGTACCACCAGGCTCTAACTTGCCTTCATGAAGACATTCACTGAAAAAGCAGAGAAAAAACATATTTTTTCCAGCATGTTTAACCTGGGAAGGTGGACAGCAGTTTCAGTACTGTTCAAAAAGACCTATTAGGCATTTAAGCACATTAATAATGTTATTGACTCTCTGAGCAAAGTACTCAAGTCGTCACAAGATCAGAGCCTTGCTTTCTGCTGGTTGTGTTTTCAAACAGAAGCTAAACTTCTTCTCAAACAAGACCATGGAAATCCAAAGGTGCAGAAGTCCTTAGTCACTGATTGTTCACCATTATCCACCCTAAGCAGTCAGATGTGTTCAGAGTAAGGATCACATCTTTATTTACTTCTGTAAGCCACCTGCTGTATCTTGTGTGTATCCCATCAGACACATGTACATCCCTCGTGGCTTTCCCTGGCAGCCTCAGAAACACAGGGGGTTCTTCCAGCTCACAGTGCTGGTCTGTGGGGCTCAGCCTTACACACTTTGGGTGAAAAGTGGCGTGCACTGTAATGAAACATCTGCTTTATCACTAAACCATGGCCTCCTGGACATATCAATGTACTCACATCTGGCCAGCCCCCTCGGGAGCACAAAGGACAGGGCTCAATCACTCCAATGTAACAAGCCTAACTCTAAATTCTTTATTAGTTATACCTGGGACTCTGTACTGATGTACACAAGCCTTATGGAATGGGTGAAGAGGGTTTTAGAAATTCTGAGTTCCCTTCAGCATTGTCCTGCGGGAGCCATCCAGGGCAGTGTCCCCACTGGAGCATGCAGTGTGTCATTGCTGGAGCACAGCAGTGTCCCACTGTAGCAGGGCTGTGTCCCCGCTGGAGCAGGGCAGTGTCCCCGCTGGAGCATGCAGTGTGTCATTACTGGAGCACAGCAGTGTCCCCCTGGAGCAGGGCTGTGTCCCACTGGAGCAGGGCAGTGTCCCCGCTGGAGCAGGGCGGTGTCCCACTGGAGCGGGGCTGTGTCCCGCTGGAGCAGGGCAGTGTCCCCGCTGGAGCACAGCAGTGTCCCCCTGGAGCAGGGCAGTGTCCCACTGGAGCAGGGCAGTGTCCCACTGGAGCAGGGCTGTGTCCCCGCTGGAGCACAGCAGTGTCCCACTGGAGCAGGGCTGTGTCCCCGCTGGAGCAGGGCTGTGTCCCCGCTGGAGCAGTGTCCCGCTGGAGCAGGGCTGTGTCCCGCTGGAGCAGGGCTGTGTCCCGCAGCCGCCCCGTCCTTCACCCCGCGCACTGCAGGGAGAAGAGCGGCACAGTGCAATACTAACCCGGCTCTGCGCTTGATGCCGCGGACACAGACGCGCATCGCTGGGGGAGCCCTGCCTGCCCAGGCGGTGTGCAGCCCAGCCCAGCGCTGCAGCCGCTGACCGCCCTCGCCTCTGCCCTTCTCCATTCACTCGCGCGCCAGCTTGGATGACAAACCCCTTTCCCCTTTCCCTTCCCTGCCGCTGCTGCCCACCGGGGAAGCGGCGGCTCCCGGCGGCGCTCCCCGCTCGCAGCCCGGCTGCCGGGGGCGGCCCCGCCGCCGCCGAGCGTGCGAGGGGCGGCCCGAGCGGCGCAGCGAGCGCCGGCAGCGGGGACGGCGGGTCCATGGAGCACAACCACCTCCACCTCCACAACGGCTCGCTCCTGGCGCACCACCGCTATGGCTGCGGCTTGGGATACGCACCTGTGGTCTACTACAGCCTGCTGCTCTGCCTCGGGCTGCCGGGTGAGTGCCGCGGGACGGGCGAGGCTGCGGGGCCCCGGCTCCTGCCCGCTGTGCGGGGCGGGGGCAGCGCCGCGGTGTCCTCGGGGTGCCCCGGGCTCCGCGTGCCCGGCGGGATGAGCGCGGGCGCTTCGGACAGCAGCATTTCCCGGACAGCAGCATCCCCCAGATAGCAGCATTTCTCGGACGGCAGCATCCCCCGGATAGCAGCATCTCTCGGACGGCAGCATCCCCCGGATAGCGGCAGCATCCCCCGGATAGCAGCAGCATCTCGCTGCCGTCCCGGCGCTGCTTCCCTCGCCGGGGTTTGTCCCTGCCTGCCCTCGCCCTCCCCCCCGGCATCCTGACTTTGAACTTGACAGACAGAGTCAGCCTGTCGTGAAGTTTGTGCCATTGTCGTTTTGGCCGTGCGAGTCCCAGCGCGGTACCCACCCGGCCGGGTCCCCCCGATCGCCTGCCCGGCCGGCGGTGAGCACAAGTGTAGCTGCCGAGTTTTTCTGCTGCAGATCCCCACGCGACTCCGTGGGGCAGGGCTGGCTTTAGGAAGGGACACGCCACCACCACAGAACTTGGCTGGGGAAGGAGCACGCTGTCAGGAGCTCAGCAGACAGTTGTCATTCATACTCGTGAGCCTGTCCCTGTGGCTGGTGGAGCAGGACAGGAGGTAGAAAGTCCAGTCTTGAGGTCAGTGCACTGCAAAGGCAGTGGCAATGCTGGCGCTGAGACCCCTGAATGCAGGTACAGGGCTTGGAAGAAAGTCCCAGCTGACAGGCACCAGTCTCCAGAGTGTATAATGCTGAGAAAATTTCCTGCTTAGAACGGGGACAAAGACATTATAGAGATGCTTGGAGTGGGAGAGGCTAGAAGCAGCATAAATAAGGAAGGAAAGGATGTCCCGAGCTGGGATATGAGCACCTGTGAGGCAGCACTGCCAGCACACAGCCCCAAAGGTGCAGATGCCACAGGAGCATCACATGGGCAGTACTGTGTGAGCCGAGACAGGCACTGAGCTGCTGCTTCCTCCCGAGGGGGCTGCCCGGGGCTGCCAGTGAGATGCCTGGGCACGCAGGACCGAGGGAGCTGCTGCAGTCAGAGTGGGCAGCGCTGCCATCCCAGCACAGCTTGGGTGCACAAACAGCCTGCCTTGCTCACTGGATTAACACCTCCAGCCTGAGAGTGACTTAGAGTGATCCCAAGGACAGGGAGAGTAAGTTGGGAAAAAGTTCTGATGCACCAAGGTGGATTGGTATTTGAAGGGTGTGGTAAAGGAGAGTTTGGTTGTGTCTGTGCAGAGCTACACATTTTAAGTGCTGTGTGGAATGGCAAGCAGCAATGATAGGTAATAATCTACAGTTTCTAAATGCTTGTTCACCTCCATTCCTTCTTCGAGCAATTATTTCATAGAAAAAATTTTAATCAGACATGAAGAGAAGCCTGTCTCTGAGCAGCAAGCATGCAATTACCACTCTCCATATGAATTGATGTGCTTTGTGTTGTTTTGGTTTGGGGGTTTTTTTCCCCATTTCTGGCTTATAATTAAAATTTGCTGATTGGCTAATAGTTGAGAGAACTGGAAAGTTAAGTCCTGTATTTACCCACAGAGGATGCAGGGCACAGGCAAGTATCTGTGCTCCAAAACATTGACAAGTCTTAGCCCTGACCCGAAGAGTTCCAGCCAGCAGGAATAGGAGGTCGTTTCCTCTTTATTAATTCCTCAGGGGCTGCTTAGATGTCCATAGTCATGACAGGCTCTGATTTCAGCACCAGTCCCCTAAGAACTGAGCAAGACCCTCTCAGGATTATCAGGTGAAGCAGTTGTCTGTGGCTAAGCTTGCCTGTGTATGTTTCTGAAATAGGGAAAAGTCTTGCGTGCACAGACAAGAAAAATCATTTAATGAACATTCTGCACATACTTGCACCAGCTCCCTGAGGATACTGCATTGTAATTACAGACCTAACACTGTCATTCTAAGAACATGGTTAAAATCAGACATGGTCCAAATTAGCAGTGGTCTGCTGCATTTCTCAAGGGATCAGACATCAGTTGATTAGAGCAGTGGCACCAGTGCCAGTGCCTAACAGAACTGGCCAAAGCAGGTGGTGGTGCTGAGTTCAGTGGGCTTAGATCAGTTGTGGATGTGTCCAGAGCACAGTGAGAACAGCACTGGCACTGACACTGGATCACTGCACATGTACAGAGTGCTCAGTAAATGCACAGCGTGCTGAGTGCGTGAGAAATTCATGAGACTGCCCAGAGATGGGAACAAGCTGGATGTGCTTAGGGGAAGACTCACACAGCCAGGCTTCATTGAGGATGGGGTACAGGGTGACACCAGTGTTAAAAAGAGCTTTTCATGTTTTGATTGGAAGCTGCTCTTCAGTTTTTTTAACATTAGAAATTTGTAAAGGTAGCAGACTTTATTGGCTGTTAGGATAAGAGTCCTGAACTGTGTGGGATCTTAATTAGCTCAGTGTGATGCCAAGAATTTAAGAGAAACCCTGTCTAAGATCGGTCCTCAAACACAGCACTAGTGCAGTATTTTGCTGAAATGGAAAGAGTTAACTCCTTGCCGCAAATCTTGGAGAAAGACTGAAGAGAAGAGAAGCCAGTTAACTGTTTCTACCTTTCCTGCTGTACTGTCTGAAGGAAATTTCACTAACTCAACAACTCCACGTTGAGGCCAAGTGCTGCCAGGCCTGGCTGTGTGTGCAGCAGCAGCATCCTCTGCCTCCCACCCTGTACAAACCAGGCACCTCAGCAGACCCTGTTTCAGCAGTGGCTCCTTCTCCCTCTCTGTTCAACCAGGCACCAGAAAGCCTGTAAAAAGCAGAGAGGAGAGCACAGTGAGCTTCCTTCAGCCCTGCTCAGCACACAGAGGCAAGGGCCAGGCTGCACGCACAGAGCCACCAATGCACACTGACCCTGCACGGCTGGGACTGCACACGAGGTGGCTGCAGCTCTGCCAGGGGTCATCGTGCCTTCAGGCAGCTGGGCCAGGAGGCTGCTTCTTTTCCCTCTAAGCAGAGGCTGGTGAGACAGAGACAGTTTTTTGGAACTTGTTCTGAGTGCAGGCGTGCAAAGGTGTCCCGCAGGAACGCGGTCCTGCTGCCAGGAGTGGGATGTCGCAGGATAAGGCTGCAGGGAGCAAGGAGAAAATGCCAGTGCAAGCACAAGGCAGAGGCACTGGAAGTGGGTTCTCTCCCATTTAGAGGGGAAGGTTTTATGGAGCTGTTCTGCAGCCCCTGCTCTGTTAACCCTGTACTCCCCTTGTCTGTCAAAGAGAACCTCTGAAGCACCTGTGGTTAGCTGGGAGGCAAGAGAAGGGCTGGCAAAAGTCTTAATAGAAGTGTTTCTTGCTTTAGTGAGAGAAAATGCTAAGGAAGGGATGGTGTTGGATGTGGAGGAGGGAATAGATTGCTCTGATTCAGTCCAGGAGGGGGCTGGTAAAGGTGAGAAAACAAAGATCAACAGGTACCACTCTCAGTCGCTCCCTTTGTCAATGAGAGCTGCACAAAGCAGCTGCACCAAAGGGCTCCTTCTGTGGTGGGGCCACTGAGCACAACCAAGAAGGTCAGGCACAGAAGCAGCACTGCTTGCTGCAGACACCTGGCTTTGACCTTGACTCCTGCTTCCTTATGACGAGCAGCAGCAATGGAGTTGCCTTGCATGCAGTCGCTTTTCCATCAGGAATAGAGTGCATTGCTGCTGAAAGGACAGAGCATCAGCATTTCCTACATCAGGGTCTGGCCTGATCCAAGTTTCCAGGGCTCATCTCCCCCTGACAGTGTGAGAGGCAGAGTGAAATCTGGCTTTCTTAGCCAGTCCTAGAGGGATTGCTGGTTCCATTTGCTCCCCAGTCAGCTGCCTGCCTGGGATGTGCCTTGGTTCTGGGGATCATTGCACCCCAGTGACACAAAGCACAGCACCTTTACAGCATCTCCAGGAGGCAGCAGACTCACAGCAATACCCCAGAGAAGTGCCACTCCAAACTTCAGGAGCCTGGTCCACAGCTGCTTCTTGTATTTGTGCTTTAGGCTTTTGCTTTAAACCAGTCACACTGATCTAAATGTAGATTCAGGACTTCACAAGCTTGGGAAAGCAGCCTGGACATGCTTGGATGCTCCCAGCTGGAAGGTGTGAACAGGTAGAGTTCATGTCAGGCCTGCTGCTGAACAAGGTGACGTGGAGATGGGGACAGCCTGGGTCATTCAAAGCCCAGCCAAGCACAGAGTGCATTCCCAGGGCTCCATGTGGAGGGAGAGAAGCTGCAGTCCTGAGCTGGAGGAACGTGTCAGCTCAGCAGGGGTGCCTAACTGGTTTAACCCTTTGTGAAGAGACAGATACAGGTTATGGACCTTGCCCTAAGAGATGACAGATTGGCTGTCCTTGCACAGCAAGGGTGTTGGATTGACACATGGGTGCACTGTGCCCGTGCAAACTGCAGTATAGGCATAGGCAAGCCAAAGAGATGGAGACCTGATCCTTCTGGAGCCTTCTCTCCATATAAAGTTTGGAATAAGGAGGCTGTCTGGGAGATGTGCATGCCTGGGTCATCATCCTGGCAGGGACGGTACTGTAGGTGGGCTGAGCACCCCTGATCGAGAGACCACCACCATGCAGCAGCCCGGCTGTGTTCCCTGCGCTCCTCGGCTGTGTGGGGTGTTCCCCCACCTGGAGGGCATTGCTGTCCTGTGCCCACAGCTGTGACACACCTGCTACCACCAGCAGCAAGGGGACAGGTAGCAATGTTTGCTGGTGACTCAGGTGGCGTGGAGTAGCAGTAAATACCAAAGCAGGCAGGGGTAGGTGTACACAGGGCACACAGCACTGTAGAAGTGTCTGACTCGTTTTGGATTCTTGCCATCTACTGCCTAGTATATTCTTCTGCAATCACAGTACAGGCTTCTGATTAAAGAGACCATTTCCAACACCTGGATAAATAGCCTTTCTCATAGCAGCACACCTGAAAAATAGAAGTGCTAAAGGAAGATCCGAAAATATG